TAAAGTAACAAAAATCAATTTGGTTCGGTTCGAAAACGATTCGGTTCGGTTCGGTTCAGTTCAAAAATGGTTCGGTTCTTGAACTGGTTCTAAAAATCAGTTCGGTTCATGAACTGGTTCTTTAAAAATCGGTTATTTTAAGGGCAGTTTGGTTCGGTTCATGGTTTGATTCAGTTTTTGGTTATTTTGCACATCCCTAGATGTGATGTTGATATATTTAGATTTTCTATTAATATTAATATTTCCTATTATTGTATTAATACTTTTGTAAATATTAATAATATTTTATTTATAATTTATTCTATTTTAATACAATATGAATGAAATATTCTAATTAAAGGAACATCAACCATAAATGCTTAGCTAATATGCTCATGGGGAGTGAGATGTTAATTTTAGGATAAAATGAGAGTTTAGTATTTTATAAATGGATAAATTACATAAAATCATCCTTACTTGGATGCGTTTTCAAAAAATCACTATTTGTTTACAATTAATTAACCCCTTATAGTATTATAAAAGAAAGAGGAAAATATTTGTCCTTTTAAAGAATATAACTTTGTGTCATTTTAGATTTTAACTATTGATTTCGTCATTTAACGGTTAAGATTTATTGGGTCAAATTTATTAATTAATTAGTAATTCGCAAAAAAACTCAATAAATCCTAACCATTGATTGAAGGAAATCAACGGTTAAGATTTAAAATGACATAAAATTATATCTTTTAAAAGGACACACGTTTTTCCCCAAAAAAGTAAACATATTTAGCAATTTTAAGATAAAAATCTCCCGGTTTCCAACCAATAATCAGCCACTTTAATCGTGGCCATATTGCTCTACCCTAGACGACTACCTTCCCACAATGCCACCCCTGAGACATTTTTTTTAGCGAAGAGAAAATTAACCAAGAGCTATTGTTACGATTCTGAAATTGAAATAAAAATTGTTGGGAGCAAGTCAAATTTAGTCAAATTTATATATATATATATATATATATATATATATATATATATATATAGGGTTTTATAATTCTCATTCAACATAAAAATTATAATTTTCCTACACACCATTCGATTTCCGTACTGACATGGGTTCTACATATAATTTTTTCTAACACATGGGTCTCACATGCTTTTTATCTCTACAACATGAGAATTGAATTCTCATTCAACATGAGAAAATCAAACCCCATATATATATATATCAAAACATTTTTATGTTATACTACAGAAATTTTGATATATATATATATATATATATATATATATATATATATATATATATATATATATATATATATATATATATATATATATAGAAGGTTGAGTGGTGGAATCGGTGGAGAATGAAATATCAGGCCGAACATGGCAACCGTGGAGCATGAATACAATGTCACAAAATATGGGGTCTTGATGACATGAACTAGCATATTATTTAAAATAGATAATTGGATTTTATGAAACTTATGTATAAGATTAAGCAAAAACATTCATATGATGTGTTGGAATAAGATCCCAACAAATGGGCTAGGTCCATTTTGGCACAAAAATGCTAGGCACAAGGTGGCTAGCTTCTTGTGCTTGCTGGATGTAACACCCTTAAATTTTTAACAATTTATAATAACATAAATTTCTAAAATCATAAATAACTGTGAAATTTAAATTAATCAAATTTGGAAAATGTTACCGCCGTACTTGTATTATGAACAAGTGTAAGGCTAAATTTATTATATTAAAATAAAATCAAAGACTAAAGTTTAACTAAAGGAAATATGTCTTACGCATTTATTAAATCTCATAAAATTTCTAAACTTTAGAACTAGCTAAAAATATCTGAGTCATTATCCTCACTGCCCACAGCTAGCCCCATCATTTGCAACCCGTTTCACTAAAAATCTACTCCCCCGAAGGATCATTGCAGCCAAATAACCACAAACAAAAACAGTCAGCCAAGCTGGTAATCCCAATTCAATATACTCTAAAAAAATATAACTCATAATAATCAAATCAAGTAATATAACTCAAAAATTCAAATCAAGTATCAACTCGTTATTAATCATATTAATCTTTATTTAGTCCATTTTAGTGGGAAGAGAACCATGGTAGACCCAGAAAATCCTGTTACCAGTCTATCCCGTGACCCGGGAAACCCTGTTGCCAGCCACGTATAATCAAAATTGGCCATATCAAAATATCAAATCCTAGTGTGTAGATCTCTTCCCAAAGTTGTTACTAGTACCCCGGGAAACCCTGTTGCCAGATATCACTTTGGGAAGAACGAAAAAAATCATTGTCACATTATGTAATATCGAAGGCATAAAGCTCAAAGGTTGTGTTCATTACTTTCAGGAGGTACCATTCCAAAAGCTATCTTCCTACTATTATTTATTACAATCACACACAATCAATAAAATTCAATCTTGTCACAATTCTTATAATTGGAAAATGTCCTCAAATATTTTCCATAATTTCCACATCAATTTAATCAAGAGGATAATTTTCAAATTCATTTTTTTCAAGATATCATAATTTTCAAATCCATTATCCATAAATATCATAATTTTCATATTCAACATCTACCAGAGTAAAACTCAAATCCAATCATCATATCATAATTTTTCAAATCATAATTCAAATATTCACATATATTAGAGTAAAGCCAAAGACAAATAATTAATTCAATTATTTTCTAGCGGTTAAAATAATTTAATTTAAATACCCTAAATGTTACATATAATATATGAAAATATCCTAAAATTCCCCAAAGATTAAGATTACATTTAACAAATTTAATATAAAATTATCTTACGATCAACTAGAGGATTATGTATACCAAATTTCATCTAAAACTAATTTAAGATGCCCTAAGGATCATGATTACCTGGTCTCTGTGTTTGATGACTTCTAGGAGGAAAAACGATTAGAGAAGAGAAGAAAAGCGCAATTGATAGCCAGAAAAATAATAATAAAATAAAATTTGAAATAACAAGAAAGAGAAGAAGAGGAGAAGATGGAGAAATATTGAGGATGGAAAGTGATTTGATTTGGTTAGGTTAAGCCTCTCTTTCTAGCCGAAGTTTTGTAACTGAGATATTAATTATGATAATATCAAAAGCCATCATACTTATTTCAATTATTGAAACTGCAGGTAATATCAATGGTCATCATAATTACGTTAATTATCATTAATATATTGTAATGGTCACATTTAAATGAAAATAATTGTTCATATTACCAATTAAATGATAACCAATACCACTAACATTCAGGTGTCAATCAAATATATCAATGTTTATAACACCACTTTATGCTAAACCCAACATGTCTGACATGATATAATTATACACATAAGGGTACACACTATTATTATTATTATTATTATTCTTCTTGGGTTATCACACTGGATCTAAGGGTGCCACTTGGTAAGTGGGTTAAGGGATAGAAGGAATCAAAAGACAGCTTACAATAGGCTATTTCTCACAACAAAATGGTGTTAACAAGAGGAAGAATAGCACAATCTTAAACATGGTGTGCATCCTAATGACAACAAGTGGTGTTCTAAAACTTTCTGACCTAAAGCAATTTTACATGGTGTATTTGATCCTGTTCTCTACAAAAATGAAGATTAAGTTACTGATTTATTTATCAAGCCTCTTAAATTAGTTACGTTTCAAAAGCTTAAAGGCTTACTTGGTGTATGTTCCATGGAGGATGATAAAGCATTTGAAACAAACATATGTTTAGGGAATGTTGAAAAGTCTCTTTGTTTATTGCGTGAGTTAGAAAATTGAATACGTGTTGTGATGAGTCTTTATTGGAAGTGTTAAGTGATTTTCTTATTAGTTATTATTGGGGTTGTGTGTCTCTTGATGTAATGTGTAATGTGTCATGTTCATTTTTCTCTGAGTTTTTGTATTGCTTATATAATAGGCTCATCACATTTCTTTATGAAATCAAACAATGTTACTTTTTTTAACATGGTATTAGAGCCTAATATTTGGAGATAATACTCATGTAATTGAAGAGGCCTCTTTAAAGGTTATTGTAACTCCAATACTTGAAGAAGCTTCCATAAAGTTTGCCTTTGAGGAGAAGCATGATGTTAAGACTCACACTTGAGGAAAGAATGTTAGAAATATAATTCAAGTGAGTTGAAAGTCCCAGAATGGCTAGAGAAGGACTAAGTGAGGATGATATAAATGAACAAGATCCATAGATTTACTGCTTAAGGTTTTGTGTTGATATATAATTTCAAGTCCACTTATTGTGAATTGTCATTTGACTCGTTTATGAAAGTATCACTTGCAAAGGATTTTTGGCTCTTCTTACCATTTTAACATGACATTGATAAGTATTACTAATTGTTAGTTAATTAGCCGAGAAATTTAATTAGTTATAATGCATATGTAAATAGTTAGTAATGAATTACAACACGTCATGTATTAGGCTTGTAACACACATTTATAAAGTTGAAAATGATCAATTTTTCATTCTTCAAATCCTTTTAATTCTCTCTTTAACTCTAATTATATTTATCAATAATAAGTAATTTAATTAAAAATACTATATTAAGAAATGTAAAATATTAGAGTATTATAATAAAATATTTTACTCTCATACCGCTATTATTTAATCGTGTCTCGTTCTATTATCTTTACTGGTATTACGAGCTTTTCTTACACCATTTGCATGTGAAATTAATCCTCACTCGGCACTATCATCTCTAAACATTTTCTTAAAGTTTTTCTTAAATCACATCAAACAGACACTTCTTTTTTATCCATTTTTATTGTTAGAAATTTAGAATTGCTTCTTGATCATTTTTTAATGAAACAGTTTTTAGAAACTAGGGTACCAAAATACAAATAAGACCTACATATCATGCGAAAAATACTTTAATATTTGAGAGAGAGAGAGAGAGAGAGTGCCAATTAATTCTAAAACAAATTAAAAATCAACATCCTAATTACAATAGAATTATGTAAATGAAACAATCCAGAGTTTACGGGAGAGGCAAGAGAAATGAAAAACGGCCAAAGTACCATAGTATGCATCTTACCTTCACACGTTATTCATTTCCCTTCCCCTCACCCCATTTTCCGTTTGAGCATTTTTTTTTTACATAAAGCCTTGGAATGTCAAACAAACAAACCTATAATGTTCATTTCATGCAAATATAGTAAATTACAAAAAATGCAATGTGGTGACAATTCTAGATAAGTGAGAGGACTTAACGACCACAATGGAAACCGTGGCACACAGAAAGAACAATAATGAGAATCAAGGCAATTATGATACCAAGAACTATTAGCTTGATCTTCATGTTCTGATACCACATCTTTCTCCTCAACTGGGTTCCCTGCTGCCTGAAATCTTGTGCCTGCAAAGCCATACCAATTGACATTCCAATTACAGCCCTTATCCAATTAAAGCCCTTTTTTTTTTGTTAAATGAAAACCAGGTTTTAACCATGACAATAAATGATAAGAAATCAACCCAATTCTCATGTAAGTTGCAATGAGAATTACTGAAAAATACTTCAGCCATGAGTAAAACTTAAAGTCAAAACCCAGAGTGTAAACTACCTGAAGGAGCTGGGTGTTGTGCAGAAAGAAATCACAATAAACAGGGTTACTATACATAAATTAAAAAACGATAACCATAAACACATTATGTCATCTTCGATAGTTTTATGATTTCATAAACTCATATGCTTGGATTTGGTTGCATCTGACAACAAAGCAATCTTACTATATTTCAAAATTTATTTTGCACATACGACAACGGAACTTGAAATTTATTTGTCAAATGTTGGTAGAAATTCCTATTTAAGATCATTTCCGGGGTTTTCACAGCATATGACATTAATCAACCAAACATATAAATGCAAAATCTGCTCCATAATGTCATAGTTCTATTTTCCATAACATTGCTTGTTTTGTTTATGTTTGAAAACAATAAAAGCATCTAACCTGATAGTGAAGGTTCTCGGTTTTATCCACCAAAACCTCAATCTTCTCTCCTCGATCAAGAACCTGCACATAAGATGTAATACAATGATTGGTCGTTTTAGATGAAATTCCACTAACCTCACAGACAATTGTTTTGGGTAGGAGGATGGAGGTGTACCAATTAACTTTTCCTTTGACACCCTCAAATTCTCCCCAAAAATGAAAGACTAAGCAAATTTTAGATAAACCACTCCCCATTAAACCCCAACTAGCGAGGATAAGGATGAGGACAACCCTTATATGCAACCTTACCCTTGCATACAGGAGATAATTGTTACAATCATCTTACAAACTTATTGTCACACTTTCTGACACACTCAATTATTTAAAACAGAAGTAATCATTATCTAGTATTTTTTTTCCCGATCAATAGACAAATTCCAATGATTACTTTTATATTATTAAGTACGTGAGAAGACTGTGAGAAAGAGTGTGACAGTAACATTTTCCATAAATATAGTAGTTCTATACCTTCTCAATATTTTCCATCATAACTTCTTTGACTTCCGAAACCTGAGCTTTCACTTTTGCAAGTTTGCTAACCTCCTCTGGATGTTCCACACAATACTGCATATGCTCCTTCAGCTTTGGTCTAAAGCATATATAAAATGAAAAGTTTATACTAGTGATATTCATAGTAGAGAGGCACGTTTATTTTATACAGCAAGGTAAATATAAGTACCTAAATTCTTTGTTAAGACTTTTTGCAGCTGCTGTTGTAGCTTTTCCTCCACCATATCGTTTAGTAAAATCCTCCTTGATACGTTCAAGAAAGGCCATTGGAACCTGTCGACCAACAGATTCCACTGCCACTACACAAAAAGCTACAAAAAAATAGATCATACCAGTCCAATTAATTATGTAACAAGTTCGACAGGAAAAGGAAAACAATAATGTATGAATTGAAATCATAAATTTCAAGATAGGTAACTGTTAAAAATAAGGAATCATAAGCAATTTCATTAAGAAAGGATTGCTGCACATTATTTTATTAAAACAAATAAGATTTCAATCGCTATGCATAAAATTGGCATTAAACTTCTTGAAAGGTCGTCAGAGTATAATTAGTAGTGTAGCATCAATATTGAACTTATTACTGGATGTGATACAGTAGTATAAAAGAAGAGAGCAAGTTGATCATGAAAAGTTCCCATACAGAATGTTATAAATCATACGTGAGACAAATAATTTTCAGGGTTAAACTTGAGAAGTAATGATATTCCGGCTTAAAGCCTACTACAAGGTCAAAGCAATGGTCTTCTTAAATCTCATTCTCAATACAATTTTACTAAGTACATTTGGACTGTTTTTCAAGAAAGATTAGAAGCTTTAGGGCCAAAATCTGTTTTACACAAAAAAAGAAAACAGACTAATTAGAATACTTGGCGGCCCGAAAAGGAGTAGTTTGCTCCCATTCAAAGATAGTTAAGATGCTTCTTCCAACAAACATATCGTCTTAAACCAAACTGTAAAATTAAGTGTAAGCTCTGTCCAGAGTGAAAGATAAGTATGATCACAGAATTCCTACGCACTTCACAGTCCCTATGAATCACAAGAGGTATATCTTATTCCCATTAAAATAATACCATATTAACAAAATGGTTTTTTTTTTTTTGGAAACTAATCCTAATTACCTCTTTGAGGCGAATCAGAACTCCCCGGTATCCCCACGGGTTCGACTCTTTGAGCCGCCTATGGGACTAATCCAGAGTTCGGGTGCGAGTCCAAGGATTACGGTACTTATGCCCCTCCCCAGATGGTTTTGTTACATTCTATTTGTCTTCTAAGAGTTTTATGACCGATGGGTAATAATACCATATCCAGTCAGTTTCATAAAACATTATCATAATTCTCTATAATTAACATAAGCAGAATAAAATCCACGGTTTCTACTCTTGTATTTATGTATAAGTAAATTGTAAATCAAAACACCATAAGAAAACAGCTTATGGAAGCACATTTACCATATATGCCAGAAATATTGAGAAATAACTAGCTTAACTTAATTAAACACATACATCACTATCAGATTTCCAAATTGATCATCTCCAAGAATCTCTTAACAAGACTGGCAGATGCGACTCTTTATGTTAGTCACATCAGTCTGAAAATTAATTTTAAGCATTCGTAATTAAAAACTCCCCCTAATACAAGTTTTTGACATAGAAACAAACAAGTAACAACATCCTGGTTCCAAAACTAACAGATTATTTATTCATTACCACTAAACTCAAAATCTAATGTTAGTAATACAAACAGTATATAACAGCATATTAAACCCCTTTCCAACCCCTCCATTTTTTTTTCTCAAAAAATAAAATAATTTTCCTATAAGGAGATTTTCACAATAAACTTAGCCAACGCTTGACAGTTGATTCAATAAAAAAATTAGATACGACTATCAACTTCAATCTTAATCGATAAGCAGCAATCTGATGATAAATTCAACCAATTTCAGCTCCAATGCTCATTTTTCATTTCTTTATTTAACATTTCACCATTTGAATTTTGAACATAACGAATATATAAGAGATTCGTTAAGCTGAAACACAGTTTACGGCTTTTCGTTGACATTTCCAGCTCCTAGATTTAACCACAGATGAACATTTCCACGATCATCGAACAATTTAAAAGAAAAATAAACCATAACAAAGGAACAGCCAACCAACTCTCACACCATATTTAAAAAAAGAAGAAAAAAAAAAGGAGTAAACCAAAAAGCAAAAAAATAAAAAAAAAAATGGTAAAGCAAAGCAAGGGAAGAGGGTGGTGATGAGAAAGGGTGAAAATGAAAGATTACTGAATCCATTATCGGCGAGGTAGTTGAAGGTGTGACCGTCGCAGGTGTAGGTGAACTTGTTGTTGGAGGCAGGGAGTTTCTGCAAACACTGCAAGGCTATGGTGGTGAAGTTGCCGCTGAAGTCAGTGTGCTCCGCGAGGATCAACGTCCCACGCGCCACGAAGCTGTAGATCAAGGATTGCTGCGCCATGAGAACTCAAAACTCTACCACTGATTCACACGCACAGAGATAGAGAGAGAGAGAGAGAGATTGAAAGAAGGGTTGTTGAAGAGAGAACAAAAATGTCAAAATGGGAAAGGTTTTGTTGTTGAGGAAGACAGAGAAAACGGAGAGAGAGAGAAAGAGGGAGGAGGTTGTCAAATTTGGGGGCTTAAATAAATGGAAACAGGCAAGGACAACGTCAGAGACTCGCACCATACTATACTATGAAAGTCACCTGATTCTAGAATACTATTCACAAGAATACGCGTTTTACTATATGTTTTTGTTGGAAAAGCATGTGAGATAAAAGTTATTTTCGTTAAATTTAAAATGACGTGATTTTAAAATTATAAAATTAAAAAAATATAAAGATAAAAATTAATATAATCTTGTAATATATTAGAATTGCAAAAATATTTTAATTTCTATCTTAAAAACATCATTTTAGACTCATCGCTGGAGATAATTTATTTTTAGAGAATTTTTTTTTTTTTTTTTAAGAACAATATAGTTTTGGGTTACCATATCGTCTTCGGAATTCCCCCGCGGAATCTTAAATAGCGTAATTTTGGGTTAATAAGAGGAGTATTTCTTTTTAATTATAACTCCATCAAATTCAATGCTCAATTGATCAAGGATTATAAGTTTATGAGTTTCATTTTCGTGATGTTGTATGTGAGAATTATTTTCTTTAAAAATATAATAATTATGTATTAAGAATAATATACAGTTATAATGATAAAATTATTTTTTTTCTTTCTTTCACGTCAGCTAACAATGTTTGAGGATAGAGAAAAAAAAAATTTAATATTATAATTATATATTACGATTAATACATAATATGTTTTTTTTTTTTTTTGCAGATAAGATTTTCTTTTCCAAAAATAATAAGAAGATTTCTATAAATATACGGGGTTTCATACTTCTCATGTGGCATGACAAGTGAAATTTTTTTACGTATCCTTTGATTTCTTTGTTGACAAATGTTTCGTATATAACTTTTTCTAACATATAGATCATGTATGACTTTTGTCTATATGACATAAGAAAATTCATCTTATATAACATGAGAAGAGAAGTATATAACTCAAATATATACCCCATCAAAACATCATTTCAAATCTCGCTTATTAATACAAGGATCTCATTTGTGATTTCAGAAATCCCAGGTCTATTTAAATTTTCAATTAAAAAAAACTTAGTAAAAAAAATAACAAAATAAATTCAAAATTCAAATAATTATAACGATATTTACAAATAAAAAGTCTCATTTTATATGAGATAGCTATTCCGTGCTTATGTTGTATAAAAAGTTGTTCCATCATTTTTTTCTTTTTTCTTTTTTTAATGGTGATGGATCTCCTTATATTATGTGTCTATGATATAAGATATTTACCTCTAATAACATGAGAAAAATAGAATTCAAAAAATATTGCAATGATGTTTCATTGATTATTCAATAGTTTATGACAGTGTATTGAATATAATAAGTGAATCATAAAAAAAGGTTATTAAAAGATCGTAATATCAAGACTTTTTTATTTTACTTCATTACTAGATAATACAATAAACTTGACGTTGCGTTTTGGTCAATTCTTAATATTTTATTATTAAAACTTAAATAATTGTCTTAGACCAATAGTTGGCTGCTGGATTGGTAGGAGTTTGTTGTGAATTCTACCGGGTGATAAGTGTTGTTTACTATCAAGTAAGCAAATTAAACCACGCAAATGAATGTATCAATAAGTATTATAAAATAAATGAGTTCAAGTAACGCGCCTCAACGAAAAAAATTGACTAAGAATAGCTCAAAATGGTTGAAGGTGATGATTGCTTTGATGAAACAATTATATAGGTGAAGTGTGTGTGTGATGAACGATTAATTAAAAAAAAAATAGTAAAGAAATAAAGATTCAAACTAAAGCAAGGGAAGAAATCAGCTTGAGAAATCAAATGGTCGCGGTTTATAAGTGGAAAGGAAAGGGTTTCGATTCGATCCACATTTGAAAGAGATTTAAATATCTTTATATTTGACTCATCCTGTACTCCGAATTAGTCTCCTCAAAAAGATAATTCGAATTGAGTTAACTTAAAAATAAAAATAAAAAATAAATCAGCTTGAGAAATGATTGGGAATCTATTTCCCATTACAGTTATGCATGCCAAGGAGGTTGCTTCTATCAACTGTACCCAATTTAACTACTTGAACTTTCCGTAATGCCATTTAACACACTGTTTTACTGCTTAAACACAATTCTATCCAAAATAGTAATTCAGACTTCATATTAAGTTTAGGTTCAATTAGTTATATGGGAATAATATTCATTCCCGAAGTTTTACCAATGTGTAAAACGCATTTTGCATATGCTTAATGATAAGTCCACTTATGGTGCTTCCCAGCAAACTTAAAACTTCAAGAATTTAGTCATGCTTAGCTGGAACATATATAAATTATCAGAATAGTAAAATCGACACTAAGCAAATTGAAATAGTCATTTAAGGTGCAGGTGCTTCTCTCTCATATATGTTGTCCTTTTTTTTTCCTTCTTTCTCTTTGTTACTTTTTCCTTCTACCTTTCTGCTTTCTCGTTGTCTCCTCTTTACCTTCCTCTTTCAGTTGCCCTTTCCTGTGCACAAATATCAGTCTCTTATACGAGCCCATAATAGTTTCCTCCCAACTCACTAGTCTGGGTGTCCGGGTTACCAAGGTGTAAATGGATAGCCGGGGTTCAAGCTTTCTGGTTGGGGCAGCGTGATTTGTGACGTCGACAACTCGGATTTGGTTAATCCTGATCGTTGCATATAGGATTCAGCCATGCTCCCTGGGCCGAGCTTCTTGAGCTTTGGTTTCTGATTTATGTTTTAGCCGATCTTATTTAGTCACGACGATTTGTCATAATGGAACCTCTTACACGGGCCCATAACAACATCCAAATCTCAACATCCAAAATAAGTCTCATAATCAATTCACAATTAACAATGTTCGCAAAATAGAGATAACAAAATATAAGTTTCAAATAAATGAACTTCATCAAAATGAGCAACAACAAGTGGACTGTCAAGTCCTGACATGCTCTAAGTGCCTATTTGGGAAGTCTTATTTTTAGTTTCTCTTCTCCTTATAAGCAAAAGCTTAACCAAACATATTTTTACAAAAGCTCTTTTATAAAAAAAAGTTTTCTGTAATAATGAATAAGAAATCAAAAGTTAAAAGCTCCAAAGAGGAGTTTTTTTGTAAAATATATACTAGTCTTTTATATTACTCATATTTATTTTGCAATCTCACCCTTATTCAGATTTATATTTACTAATTTATCCTAATAACAAATTATTTCATCCTCCCTTATTCAAAACCCTCGGAATAGCTTTATATAATCATCAAACAATTTTTAGCTTTATTTTTTAATTTTTTTTTAATTTTAGCTTAAAAGTAGCTTTTAACTTAAAAAAGATATTCCAAATAGGCTCTAAATGATACATTCATTCTTCAAGCAAGTTATCTTGGTTAAAATACCTATCGTTAAGCTCTCTTCCATCTCTGTCATCTCCAGTAGAATGCCAAATATGAATATTATATTATCATTAATTCAATCATTTGAATAATCTATTGAAAGTGTCTAGTTCTACTAAAAGAATTTAGCATAATAACATTAGGCAAAGAAGAACATATATTTATGTCAAAAAATATCATAATATCATATTCATAAGCATAAGTCAGTTTCATAAATTATGAACAAGGTCTAAATCATTTAATAAGCCATCAACTCAAGTTTATTTGTAAGAGAATAACAATTGTCTAATTTCAAAGAATAAGACCAATAGTCAAGTCACTTACAATAACGTATTCATATAATATCAAATTTCAATTAAGAACAAGCCCAACAACCTTTTTATGCAAATAAATATTTCAATGGTTTAATTTAAATTTATTTACCTTTTGTAGGCAATAACCATTTATGATATTACTCAATAAATTTTGTCGCATGAAATTGAGGAACTTGACCCGAAATTTTGAGGGCCAGGAGTTGAAACATGCATCGCATACAAATTTCAATTTTCTGCTAGGCTTCATTGATCATACAAGTAGTTATTACTTTTTTAATTTTAATACATATTTTTGGAGAGTGGGGGCGGGCTGCTATCCACGCCTTAAGTCCTTAACTAAGCCCCGCCACCGGTTGAATGATTATTATATTTAAGAAATCTCATTAATAATAATAATAATTATTATTATTATTATTATTATAATTATTATAATTATTAATATTATTTAATGTTACGCTGAGAAAGTCTACACCCGACATTCTGATTTTCTTATTTTCTTTTTTATATGAAATTTGATCTGGTTGTTAGAAAAGAAAGCGTAATAAGTCCGTACAAGCTATTCCGTTGTGTTATTTCATAATTAATTGTCATTATGAACCAAATCGTTAATTTTCGTGCGTTCAATGCCATTGGCTCATTGTTATTAATTCAATAGGATATGCTAAACTAATGGTCATTGTATTATTAAATTTTTAATAAATTGAATAAAGTCTCTCTTTTTTTCTCTTTTTGGTCCATAAAAAATTACGGTACTAACTTTCGTCTCTTAAAAAAAAAGTTAACTTTTGATTTTTGACGGACTAAAAGGACTAAATTAAGTTTTTATTGAATTTCTGAGGGACAACATTTTCAAAGAACTAGAATTCTAGAGTGACCAAAAATTAACTTTTTTTATTGTAAGAGACGAAAGTGAAAATTGAGTTAGGGACCAAGGGGCTTGATAAGACTTAAACTTTCTCACATCGAGGGGAGAATTCCTCCTTAACCAAGATTATGAAAATACTTCTTTGTTAATCTTGATAGAGAAATTATAGTCTTATGTAACCATACTCTTCCTCCTAAAACAGAAAAATACTCACAAAGCAAATACACATTTTGCATCACACACTCACACAACATAATCTAACAATAAAATCTTATTACTTATCAATTATAACAACCATATAAGCTATAACAACCTTCCAAGTCTCTACCTAATTTCTCTCACTTGTCTAACAACATACTAATTACCCATATGTATCATTCCACACCCTTTAACAAACACCTTGTGGATAGGTAAACTTGCCAAAATCCTGCACGTAAACACACCAAGCAAACACATTTGTTATTCCTTTTAATGCTCCAAATGCCACAATGTATTTAGCCCAACCCA